GTGGCATTTTTTGTATTTTTCAGCCGAAGTACCTCAAAAACGCGACGTGATAAAATAATTTCATTTACCAATTCTCGTTTTCAATGATAAAAAAATTTATAGATGTTATCTATTGTACTAGCTGCTTTATGTAAGAAGTAATAGTTACAATGAAAAAAAGGGAACTTAAATCTATAGTAAATATAACTATTTGAAATAAGGATGACGGAAGAAGAATGCAATACACTACTTACATATATTTTTTCCGTAGAATTCAATAATACTATTAATATTCGTTCAAATCAAATTTTTGTTAATTGTTTAAACAAATTATTGATATCTGAATTATCAAATATAATTCTCAGATAATCCAGATTCATAATTAGTGACTCTACAATTAGATACATAATAATAAAACATAATTTAGCCGAGAGTTTATTTCTTTCGTAAAATTTCTATACATTCTCGTATAGATATACGTATCTTTATACATATCACAGCAATTTTACATATTCCTTTCACCACTATGCGATATTAACATGTAATAACAAATAAATCGAAATTATACTTCCATCTTCCGATATTAAATATCGCAAAAAGATCTAGTTATCCCAATTCAAATAGACAGCCAAGAGCAAATTGAATTTGCGTATGTTTGTTTTCATCTTTTCACTCGTGTAATCGTACTCGCTAATCATCTTTTTTCATTTCTTTTTCTTTTTACTTTATTATACGCTCGATTTCTACAGATGTGTTTAAGTTTTCACAGGAGAGAAGATCGCTGCTAATAATTAGAATTAAGTTACCGAGTAGCCGGCAGGTAGGATCGACAGAGGTAAAATTATCGCGGTAAGAACGAGATAAATAAAAAGAGCATGCGCACATCTTGTTGGCTTCGACAGTGCGTAACCGCTAAACCTCTTTCCTAACCACACTGAGCATTAAAACGAGCACCGGCCATGAGAAAAAGGATTAGTTTCTTCGAAGGCGTTTAACCATGATTACGGGATCGATCGTACTGACCGCTTTTACACACGATCGAAGTAATGTGTGACACGCGCGATTAGCGTAAATCTACACTTGAGAAGTAAAAAGATTCAAATGCTAGATCTTATTTCATGAAGAGAATACACGAAAATACACGAGGATAAATTTTATTGCAACCCGTAAATTTTTAATTAGATGTAAAATAACGCAGAGTTTCATTATCCACGTAAAATACTTTAGGATAAAATAAAACTATACGAACATATGATCTCTTCTGCTTCTCAAACATGAAGTGCATTTTGTTTATAAAATCCACTCAATTCTATCCTCGATTCGATCCTTGTTTCATTAAGAGAGATCGAAGCTTGTTAAATCAGGTTAGCGATACAAAAAAAGATTACGACGTTCAAAATGTGTCGAGGAAAATCTCACATACAGAAGGCATGCGGATATCTCATAGTTCATAAAGACTCCGCTTTTTGTATTGCACGTAGTGATGTTTCCTCACTCATATCTCACCAGCTTAGCTATTCGGCGTATATTACAGGAGTCTAGGATAATAGTCCAGTAAAAAGTTCGACACTCCCAGGGTCAAAGATCTCAAATCTCTCATCTCTCTCAACTCGCCCGTGAAAGCAAAGTCTCTCTCGTGCTCTCGCGTTTATCAAGTATGCTTCTCGCGGCCACTTCGCGATATACTTCGATAAACGACACGCGAACGAGAAAGAGTATCGATGTATGCGAGTTGTCCCGTTCAGTGAATAACCAGCTGAGAATCTTATTAAATAACTGAATATCTCTCGAGATAAAATATTACTCCTTTACGCAAGTACATGTAGTACAAGATTTAATGTTTCAAATATATCAGCTTTGCGTCAGGAGAGAATTATTTTATATTCGTAATGTGGGTAAAGAACATTAAAACGAAGAGATTATTATTGATATTATTGATATTATTGATTTAAACGGATTACTGTAAAAATAAGAAAAGATGCAGCGGTCGTTCACTGATGCCGTACTCCAAACGCGAGCGGAATGCGAGATGACAATGTCGACACTCGCGCGTATGTTATCCCCGTTTGAAAAGTGTTCTTTTCCCGTAGTACGTTTTTACCTTATTTTTTTGCCGTACGTCGTCCATTTTCGCGAACCGGATGCACGATGTTTGAAGTCGTAAAATACCATGCATGTGAGAGAATCAGTTGCTCTCGCGTATCGGAAAACAAATATTTTTTTGCTGTCTATTCGGTGACTTTAAATATTTCATCTGATATCGTATATTTTTCTTTCGCCAATTTCCTGCTCGATGTCGTTTACTCTTACGAACTGATGTTTCGCAATGTGTAAACAAATATAATAGCGAATTCCATCGGTTGTACTTAATGTATGCCGATGCAAACACTGGGTAAACTGTTATAGAAAAGTTTACCTAGATACAAAATCATAATTTAATAACTTATGCTAAGCAACAGATCAATTGGTGTAACCAAATCTATCAACCCGCAAATCTATTATAAGTTCATTACAAGCATTAAATTTATTTAAAATAAATTCTGAATCCAAATTTAATACTTCAATCAAAATTATTAAATTAAAACAATTTATTACATAAAATCGCTTTTTTGGTAAAATTTTATATCTATACTTCAAGAAAGAATAAATTCTTTGTTTTGAGTACATGATACTAAATTTTTTTAAAATTTGTAATAAGTAAATTTTGAGATTTTTAACAAGAAAATATTCTTTGTTAAACATAACTGTTACATAAAAGAAAAAAAATCTGAGTAATCACTTTTTTTAGCAGTTGAATGATATTTTCTGTGTGTATGTACAACAATCTTTTCGGCAGTTATCGATTTGATTCAAAGATGGCTGTAAAAAGCCACCAAGTGACTCCATAATAATAACGAATATGATTTTATTTTCAATTTAATATTTGTATTATTAATTCGTAAGTCAAGAATGTCACTGATGTTTGTGACTCATGTAGGACATGCGCAATAGATTCAGTTCCAATACAAGAAAACTTCTTCGTCGACTACCATCTCCGTCGTGTTATGAAATCCAAGCACGTCGTTGCCGATAAATCAACGCAACAGTCGGAAGATCTCGCGGGCAATTCTCGATCGCCCGGCCGACCGATCAATCACGCGCTTTCAATCCCCGACACGTGTGTGATCCGGCAAACGTCTCGACGTACGTACGAACGAATGAACATCAGCGTGGTATCGCGAATCAGCACCAGGTGGGCAGCTCACGCTAATTCAACAGTTAGCCCCATGCGGCTGGCATTTGACGTCGATTTGCATCTGCCTACCTGTACTCAAAACTGATCGGACCCCTGCCGTAATTTAAAGAGAACATGAAGTAAAATCGATAGCCAAATAAATCAAATTTAAAGTTATGGTACGTTCTGGGCACGTCCTCCTTTTCTGTCTGTCCAAATACGTCCGGCTTTGGAAAATTTACCTAAATTTACCTTGTCTTCTCTTAAGAGATACTACTGAAATTAACTTTATTCCACATCTTGTTTCGTTCAAATTTTAAAGTCCCAAATTAATTATAATTATATTGTAACGTTTAATTCGTTTAAATAATATCTGTGGAAGACTTAATATATATTAATATGTCATATTATGCGTGGACAATGATTGAAACAATGAGATAAAAATGTAATATATTCATCGTATACTACATATATTTATAATTCATGAAATACGTAAAAATTCTTATTTTTCGTTATTTCTTGATATCATCTGCTTTTTGAATTTTTTTCAAGTCATTCCTTGATTTCTAAAAGATAATCTAAACCTTACTTCCTTCAACTTCTATAACAAGTGTTCTAAAGTTTGTCTCGTCCTAATCACATTACCGACTTTCACCTCTCTTGGCCTTGGTTGAGACTATAACATATTGTTCGGGGAATTAATTGAACGGCTGCGAGATGCGTTGACCGTATGGGATATAATGGATGGATAGTCGCGGCTAGATAATAGATGGATGGATTCGCTGGTGGATGATAATGGGTCGTGTCAAGTGCGAGACGAGACCAGACGAGACGAGCTGAAGTAATCCAAGTGCCTACAATGTGTACGCGACACGAGGTCGAAGGCTCCCCGTCTGTGACGTCACGATACTCATTTGTCGTCTCCACTAACACCAGATCTACGTGCCTATGTGTATAGACTATTATTATACATACCAAAGGTAGCGAAGTATCTTTTGTGAATTTTTTATATGAAAGTAATTTGTTAAAAATACCGAAAAAAAAATGCTTGTTTAAACTTGCAATTTTCAACATTAAATACCTATAACTTTAATTAGCATTAATCATTATTTAATTTACAATTTTTTAAATAAAATTTACTTGAAAATAAGTCAAAGATATAATTTTATTAAAGTATAAATCACAATAGCTTCAAAAGCAAAATAGTCTGCAAACTTAATTTATTATATTATTAATAAATTGAGTTTGCAGACTATTTTGCTTAAATATTGTATTTCTAATTTGAATCATTGCAAACTGCGATAGGTAATCCAATTAATCTTTTCAAAATATTTTATGGTCTTGCTCTATTTACATTCCCGAGGAGTGTAAAATTAGATGCGAAACAATAGTTATTTTTGATAATTTTAATAAAGAGATAAGGCTTTCATAATGCACATCGTTTCAATGTAATTTGATTCATATATTAAAATCCATAATAATAACGGTGTTAATCGTGAATAAATAGCACAAATATGTGAGAGAGCTTAATATGGTTTCGTTATGTGAGGCCTTAATGTGGTTAATCATGTCAGGCATACCACGATTACTGTAATAATAGTGATTCGCCATTTTGATAACATCTACACAAGGATCAATTAAGACAATTGCTCGATCCGATCGAACTCTATTCTACGCACAATTTAAAGAATACTTTACTAACAATGCGTTCGCCAACGCTACGCCCATGGGAATTAATCCGCGCAGCCATAAATTGATTAAGCCACTGAAAGCCGCGTAATTCATTTTTCACTTTGTTTTATTGCAGATCAGTGCGGAAAGTGTCGCGCCAGCACGAAGAGGCTAAATCTCAACAAGTACTGCAAAAGAGACTACGGTAAGTGTTCCCGAATCAAACAACGCTGTGAACAAAGAACTGTGTAGGTAATTGCACTCACCCCTCTGATATAATGGAACCCAAACTGTAGAAACCCAAACAACGCGACAAACGTCCCGCCTCCTGCCACCACGAGATTCTATAATTAAGTCGTTCTTATACATATACATCAACTATCACATTTCTAAAAATAAAACGACCCATTCTAAAGTAAAGGGATATATCTATCTACACTCATACTTAAAACTATCACGCAACATCTTTATGTTATGACGAATTTCTTAAAATAAACTATATATTTTCTTGTAATTTCTTAATCATTAATAATAAATATTTTGATAAATGTTTTAAGCACTAGAAGATATAGAGAGAAATATTCAATTTTCATTAAAGGATCAAACAATCGAAAGCTTCAAAATGTATAAAAATGAAGAATTATTATCCAATATTACATGACCCCGTTATTTTTGCAATAGACAAGTAATACAAAACTTCTAATCCAATATCACACTGACAAGTTAAATGACAGCGCTCGAAAACGACAATAAACGTAGTGATGTAGACAATCCTGGCTGGCCGATGTGGAAAAACATTGCGCGATACAAAGCCACCGGAATTGTTTCGGCTTTTATCGGGAATAGATGTGTGCCCGCCCCAATAATGTGTGGAGGACGCATGTAAAACAACGATTTATGCCAGAGTGCCGTTCTCTCTCTCGAAAGTCCTCGAAAAAGTCGAACATAAATGTACGTACAGGGAGAGGGACCCGAAGGGAGAGAAACAGGGAGACAGTAAGAGAAGAGGCAGTAACGGATTTCGCTTTAGAAAGCCCTGCATTTGCATAAAAAGGTTAACAAAAGAAGTTTAAGAAAAATTATATTAAACGAAACCAAAATAGATATTTATAAAATAGAAAATAATTTTAAAAATCACTTTTAAAAAGAATCTTTCCTATTTTCTAATTTCCAATTTTTTCTATAATTACACTAATTGCTTTATATTCTGCATCTGTTGTTCTTTATAATAAATATGAAAAATTAATATCTTAAATTTCGTTATTTCTTGATGAAAATTTTAAAATTTCACATCGGTTTATAATACTTGGGGCTCGGAGTTGGCTAAATCCGTCATTGAGGAGAAAGAAAGGATAGCGTTGTTTGCGTACGGTCGCAATTGCGCTCTCTTCTCGCGGTGGTGTATCTATATAACAACTCGTTCAAAAATGAAAGACTCGCGTTTTAACGGTGCCGGGGCTTTCAATAATAGAATGGTATGCCTTTGAGCCGTGGTCCGGCGCGGGTTTGGCCGAGCAGAGCGGCTTCGTTGCTCCCTGCTTCCTTTCCTGTCCGCTCATTTGATTCAGCGCAGATAAATCTTCAACAGGTCTGCACTTAGCTGTCTCTGACTTAGAATAGCGGCTAAAACGACCGTCATCCTATAGTCTTGTCGCAAAAGCGAAACCGATCGGAAAGCGACGCCTCGTGCACGTGCCTCCACGTGTTTTTCGCTCAGAGCGAGGAATACGCAAAGAGATGTCATAAGAAGCTTCTACAATGATTTTACAATGATTTTAAACATTATAACAAATCATCAAAGATAAAATTGCAATACAAGAAAAACTTGACTTGATGAAAATGAAAGAATAGAGGAAGAAAGAAATATTTCATGAAAACATCAATAAAGTAAAAAATAATTTTTATCTACAAATATCATATATAAAATGTTTTTTTAGTTTTATCCATTGAAAACTTTTTTCTTAATAAGAATAAACATTTTTAGAATAACAACAGAAATTGGTTGTAGAATAAAAACAAAAATTGCACAAATATATAATTTTTCATGTAAATATTCAATAATTTTGCATTTCACATTTTTTTCGTCTATTAATTGCGTTTTCTCAACAAGAGATCAATTTAGGGTATTAAGGATGTAATAACTCAACAAAGTCAGTTTTAGAATTCGCGAAATTGCTATATACGAAGCAAAGAAAATACACATTTCCATTTCAAAAATATATTCTGTTATTCTCCCCCACGAGAGATGTAAAATCTCCAGACTACGATGTCAAGAATAACGCGGCCCCGTGATTCGAATAGCAAACTCCGGGGTCAAGCACGACGGCGTATAAACTCGTAACGCCGACGTCGAGTAATGAATGGTTCGATCGAATGCAACTCAACGCTAAATCGTTTCGCAGGGGCATGACCCTAGTCCTTGGCGAAAGGCTAATAGTATCCCTGTCCTGAGGACGAGAGGATCGATGGTAAGTCGTAACAGGAGAGAAAGAAAAGAAAAGAGTTGTGCCCAGCCGCCGTGCCGGCCGCCTCCCATTCAATTCTATAGTCTCGACAGAGGTTGAAAGGACCTGGACATCCTTTGAACGAAAGGAACACATAGGTCTATGTTAAACACTATTACGTCCAATACATTTTAATTACAACGTAAAACATCAATTCTCTAATTACATTTTTTTTTAAGTTTTATGAAATTATTTAGAATTATGAAGTTACATTTATTTAAAGTTTTATTCTATAAAATTTTTTAATAAAAAGATAAATTTTATTTTAAAAATGATGTATTAAAAAATCTTTTCTTTCATCTTGTAAAATACTCGGAGAAAAAAGAAGTAACTTCAGCTATTGTCGAACGAAGTCATCATTGTCTCCATAAAATACTATGAAATTCTATATTCTATAAAATACAATAAGGGTTTCAATATGTTCTTCTCAAAATGGAATTTTCGATTATATATATATATATATATATATATATATCCTTGCTCCAGATATTCTACTTCAATTATATATTATAACTTGGTAACATTACTATCCGTATGCTTGAAATGTAATGCTCAATATGTTCTTTTTCAACGCAGCTATTCTGGGCAGAATAACGGACAGACACAAGAAAAGCGATAGCTCGCAGGCCGGCACAAGCGTATCAGGTACATCCTGGATCCGATTCACTCTAAACGTTGACTTTATCTACAAGAAAAATCCTAACTCGAGGATTCGACGTGGCGACGTGTCCCTTTATGTTCATTCAGCTGATCTGGCTTGCAGATGCCCGAAAATCAAGCCTAATAAGTAAGTATTATTGCTTCATCAAAGAATTGAATGTTGATTCGAAATTCTTCCATTTTTGTATGAATACTTATATCATTAAAAATTTAATAACTTTAAATTGCCCATCTTCAAAAAAGTAAAAAAAGTGTCTACTACATTTATATGTGGACAAATTTAAATAATACTGTAGATTTTTTAAGCAAATTTTTACAGATATATTTTTCCAGATACACACACAAAATTCCTTTAAAAATAAAAATAGAATGGAATAGATTTTTATAAAATTCTAAATTCTTGTAAATCTAAATTTGCTTCTTGTGAATCACAAATATTATTATTTTATTACTATTATTATTAATTAATCTCGTTATTGTTTGGACAATGCACATTCAACAGACATTAAAACTATAATAAAGCTCCTAATTTTTTGTGTTCTTTATATCTCGTAGCCATTTAATTTTCTACTTGTCTTCATTTAGAGATCAATCAAATGATCAAGGTTTCTAATGGGACAGCTCTGATAATATGTAAACAAATTGTAACGACCATAGACTGCCTGTCAGAAATTATGGTAGTCGGCAACAGCTGACAACTGGACAACGATTGAGACTACTCACACAATTTTGTTATATTCACAGATCTTACTTGATCCTTGGCCAAGAGAGTGACGGCGGTGGTCAAGGTGGACTCACAGTGACACAGAGGTCGATCGTCATCGAGTGGCGCGACGAATGGCACCGTCGAATGCGTCGTTTTCAACGAAGGGCGAGATCGTGCCATTGAGATGCTCGTACGTCGCGGAGAGGAAGAGATAGAAAGCAAGATGAAGAGAGAAAAAGAATAAGAGTGTGAGTGAAAGAACGAGAGAGAAAGAGAAAGAGAAAGAGAGAGAGACAGAGAGAGAGAGAGAGAAAGAGGAAGTGGGTGCATGTATGCGTGCGTTTGTGTATGTAAGAATGAGAGAGAGAAAGAGAAAGAGAAAAAGAAAGAGAGTGACAGAAAGAGAGAGAAAGAAGAAAGAAGGAGAGAGAAACAGAGAGGAAAAGAGAGAAGTCAATCCCCTCCTAACCGTGTTCGTAGGAACCTGCATATCTTGATTTCCCGACCGCGAATACCAGTATCGGGGTGCCGATTTTGTTTTGCGCGCGGTATTCATCGACGATCTTATGTCGAAAGCAAGATACGAGGAAGGAAGACGAAAGGGGGAGCAGCGATTTTTCCATGACGAGTGCGTCCGCCCCGCGAAGTAACGCGAGCAATGCATATTTGTAGAAAGATTGCGTGCAAAGGCAACCATCTCGTTGCGAGATATAATCCTGAAACGATCCACAGGAATGATCGATCGTTCGAAATATACACTGATGAATAATCATTAAAATTTCAGATGATCTCTATATCTGTATTATCAATCAATCACACGTATATATATTTATGAAATTTCTTTCTAATATTTATTTCAATTAAAAGAACTCTTCAGTTTTGCCCTGACTTTCGCCAAGCACATATCCTTTGAATCAAATGCAAATTAGTTTTCCATTCTAATATGACAATTTGCTGTTCGGTCGAGTACCCAACGTCTCTGTAGAGCAAGCGCATTCCTCGATGTCGATTCACTCTTGACATTTGTTGCGCGACATTTCTCCGTGACAAGCGATTTATTGAACGGCATGAATCTTTGAAGGCTCGCCATCGTACCCGTTCGCACCCGATAAATCGCGTGTCCGTGAGAAATGTCGCGAGATAAATGTCGGGTCGAATTTACGCGACAGATTCAATTACTCTGAAATACCGCAAATCGTCGCCGGTATATGGTGGTTTCTGGCGGTACCCCCGTTATTCAATGGCGAATAATCATCCGAATAGGTCGTCATTTCTGTACCGTTAATACTATAGCCGAACCAGATTTAAATAAAAGATATTCGCTTCCGCATCATAATCCTCGTAGCGCAGTCACTGTCGTGATCAATAGAAATTGATGGTTTTAATTAAGTTGCGTGCAACAATATTCAACGTGAATTGCGAGAGAACGTGATATTAATATCTCTATAACATATAAAATAATCGAGCTCTTTCAAAACGTTTCTCCGACGGTTCGATGGTAATTCATTTTCATCAACATCAATTTGCTATATACAAAACATGGACGTGTACAGATTGTGCACGATGTGATGCGAGCGTGTTATGTACGAACTGAGCGTTAATGCATCTATATTATAGAAGGTACTATCATTAAAGCTTAATAGATTCGGCAAAGCGAAATCAATTTCGAAAATCGCATACTGATGTACGATGTCTTTAATCTTGTTCATCCCTTTTTATTTTGCTTATGAGCAAAAATTGAAGTGAAGCTTGAAAAAGGGAGCACACAAAAAACTACCGTTTGAAGAAAAGTTCAATTCATGCTTTTGATTTTTTTACATTAATAATTTGGCGCAATTGTGAGATATAGGGAAAAATTGTAATTTCTCGGAACATAGAATGTCTGTTGAATGTGGCCCTTTTCTAAATCCGTCTCAATTTTATTATTCTAATTTTACTTCTTCAAAGACAAATCGCAAACATATAGTTTTTATAATTTATAACTAACTATTATTTTATTATTATTTTATTTAATTATTTAATCCAGTTTTCAAAAACTGTTTGAAATAATGCATAATATAATATGAAGAATAATCTTGCTATAATAAAATTACACAATGACCGCAAATTATGCATCGCAGTATCTTTCAACGTCGCGGAGTAGAAATAGCGAGGTGAAGGTACATGTGATAATATGTACGCTTCGACTTAATTCCTGAGAAAACCGCGGCACACCTGCTACGGAAGCATGATTCAACCGCGTCCAGCACTAGAGGGCTCGTATTGCCGTCGGTACTAAAAGGCTGGTCTCGAGTAGACAAGCGCAAAATGCGTACGTACATGTACCACGTCTAGCCATTTCAAATCTGATTTATTCGCGGCCGCCTTGTGTCTTGAGAGCCGGTGCACTCGGAGAAAGTGGGCGTGAGAGGGAAACAGCGCGAGAATCCAATGAAACCACGAGAGAGGCAAAAAGAGAAACGAAAATGAACGCGAAGCAAGTAGATAAGCGAAGATACGTTCAGGTATAAAATATATTTAACCATTGTATATTATCATTATGGATATATCACACATCGGAATCTGAGAAGCGTTATCGTTTTTATCGCCCTGCTAGAAAGTTATTGTGACTCTGATCGTTTATTCGGTGTAAAACATCACCATATAAAATCATGCTTCGTTTCCCTTTGATCGTTTTGAAAATTTTCCTTTAGCAAAAAGAAATGTCGAAATTCTTTATCAAAAAAATCACTATTGAAAAAGATTATTTATTATAAATTTCCAACATAATATTAAATATCTGGGCAACTAATTTATAAAAGTTCACTTGAAATTTAAAAATAAATAAATTTCTATTATTCCTCTCTTTGCACTTTTTTCAATAATTTTCGAGAAATCGATAATTATTGATTACTTATATAATTTATTACATACATAACTTATTAATTTTTTAAATATTTTTTCAAAAAACGATCAACAGATTCTTTAAAAAATTCACCAGTAAAAAGTTAGCACGATCTATATACCTTCATCAATCTCTCTCAACAGCGTTCTCTCGACAAAGATAATGACCGCGTTTTAGTATTGCTGAGTAAACGTTTGCTAAGACGAAAGATCTTCAAACAGTTTGAATCCTCTATTGTTTTATTTGACTCTTTACCAAGCTTCCACACGCAAACATTATCTACGATTTGTGTTTACATATCAATGCAAAAGCGCGAATACCACTCTGCAAATTCGATTTATCAACGACATTTGAAGGGTTTAGATATGTTGATTTGTTTGAATTGGGCAATCATGTTGAAGCACATCGCGAGGCATATCTTGTACCTACAACGAAGACGTCGGTTTATCTTCGTGAAATAAATCGACCCTGACGCATTCAGTTCTAAGGACGGCTATTAGGAATCCGAGGCGTACGAATTTAAATCGTCAACGAGCATCCGTTTTGCTCGGTTTAAACGCTTCTTCCAACGGGAGCAAGATGCGCTCATCTAAAATTGGAACGTGTGGCATTCGCACCGACTGACGGATACGCACGTCGTGTTTAATCGAAAGTGACGTGTACAGGGCTATGCGTTTCGCAAATCGACTGAGCAGGCATGACGAGAAACCGAACAGCAAGCGTCTTCGTTAAATGATTCATTCAACGAAGTGGATAAATGTCTTCTTCAACTCTTGTCTCAAAGTTCTGTATAAGGTAGAAATAAATTAAGAGTTCAACTGTTGCATTGCCCGTCGTTTTTTTTATTTTTTATTTTTTACGACACGGCGGATCACTCGATCACAAATGGCACAAAACTCGTCCCCGGGCTTCCCCCCCCTCTCTCGCGACTTCTGTTTTAATTTATTTATTCTTCGCCTGCTCGATCATCGCGCGTCGTACCATACTCATATAGAAATATCACGCGTTCGTTGAATGTAGATTTTCTTGTACATTTTCTATATAAATTATTAAGATCCTTTTCTAGCTGGTATATTATATTACGTAGTGGAGAAAGAGGAGAGAAACACAGTAGAGGCTAAGCATACTGACACGTGTCGCGACGTGAGTCGCGGGTTTATCGATCAATGATGACACTCTCCCGGATCGTTCGCGTCGCGGATTTCAGGCGGCGACGACGACGGCGGCGTCGTTCGGTTAATCGTCGATCGTGAAAAAATCGCTGATCTTTATAGCATAAAAGTGGTATACTTCGTCGATGTAAGTACGGTTTGATGCAGTATGGTATGAAATATTGATAAAGATCATGCACAATAAAGATCAGTGTGAGAATTGTTTGAGAATTATCACGTGTTATTCGGTATAATCGATGACTCAGCTGCGATTAAGAAGCCCACCTGTTACGTCCCACCTGATCCTTTCCGAACTCCTGGTATCAACACCAGTACGCAAGAAGGCTATTCTTCCAGAGTTAAGTCTTTTTCGCGACCGTACAATAAGAGGATTCGCGAAGATGAAACGGCACAAGCGCATTATTTAACGGTAATAAGATAATCTGTAGAAACGTTTATATATTTGTAACCACGTGCTTTGTGGTGCAATAAGAAAAATTTTCGAGACTAATTTGATCCTCCGAAGGGAATAGGGGCGTAATTTATATGCCACTCAATTTTATAATAACGTCGTTATAATAAAATCGTTCCTCTATCTACGCTACAAAGTGTATTGAATCATGATAACCAAAATGCAAACTATTATATATGATTGTTGCTACGATGTCATACTTATAATAGTTACAGCGCTACGATATTAAAAAAAAAATGCGACACGATGGAAAATTGCATGTGAAAATCGCTACAAAATAAGTAATATAAACATTTTTTGTGCTTTCCAGCAAGAGACACAGTGTAATACAGTGATCATTTCTCTTTGTTTAACATTGGCAAACAGCAAGGTTGTAATAATTCACTGTGCCACACTGTCTCTTGCTGGAAAGCACTCTTGTTATACGCGATAATGTTCGAGTAAGTCATCCTTTATACATCGCGTTTCGAGCCAAGTTCCTAAATTGCGCCGAATGCATTCTCCTCTTCCAGTACTCATTGTACGATCGATATAAACCATTTTCCTTCTAACACGACGAATGAATAACAATGCAAGAAAATTAGAATGAAGGAGAAATGCAAAGTGCACGTGTCGCGTTTGAGGAGGAACCAATCATCGACACTCGTATCGGATTAGCGTGACGATAATATCTACATATTCAGTTACATACTAATTGTAATGTGTCGAGTCTTCGTGTAATTAATAAGACTGTAACTCCTACATCTCTACGTCTATACAACACATGACACGACAAATCTTTTCTTTTCAATTGTTAACAATCAAAAATTATTCATGCATTTGTATATTTAAAAAAAACTTTTTAAGCAATACACAGATTAATTAAAAAATTATATAATTTAAAAAATCTATTTAGCAAAATATCTGAAATACCACATTCAGAGCAATTTTATTCTATTTTAATTGTAAATGTTTCGATCAATGATGACACTCTCCCGGATCGTTCGCGTCGCGGATTTCAGGCGGCGACGACGACGGCGGCGTCGTTCGGTTAATCGTCGATCGTGAAAAAATCGCTGATCTTTATAGCATAAAAGATGTATACTTCGTCGATGTAAGTACGGTTTGATGCAGTATGGTATGAAATATTGATAAAGATCATGCACAATAAAGATCAGTGTGAGAATTGTTTGAGAATTATCACGTGTTATTCGGTATAATCGATGACTCAGCTGCGATTAAGAAGCCCACCTGTTACGTCCCACCTGATCCTTTCCGAACTCCTGGTATCAACACCAGTACGCAAGAAGGCTATTCTTCCAGAGTTAAGTCTTTTTCGCGACCGTACAATAAGAGGATTCGCGAAGATGAAACGGCACAAGCGCATTATTTAACGGTAATAAGATAATCTGTAGAAACGTTTATATATTTGTAACCACGTGCTTTGTGGTGCAATAAGAAAAATTTTCGAGACTAATTTGATCCTCCGAAGGGAATAGGGGCGTAATTTATATGCCACTCAATTTTATAATAACGTCGTTATAATAAAATCGTTCCTCTATCTACGCTACAAAGTGTATTGAATCATGATAACCAAAATGCAAACTATTATATATGATTGTTGCTACGATGTCATACTTATAATAGTTACAGCGCTACGATATTAAAAAAAAAATGCGACACGATGGAAAATTGCATGTGAAAATCGCTACAAAATAAGTAATATAAACATTTTTTGTGCTTTCCAGCAAGAGACACAGTGTAATACAGTGATCATTTCTCTTTGTTTAACATTGGCAAACAGCAAGGTTGTAATAATTCACTGTGCCACACTGTCTCTTGCTGGAAAGCACTCTTGTTATACGCGATAATGTTCGAGTAAGTCATCCTTTATACATCGCGTTTCGAGCCAAGTTCCTAAATTGCGCCGAATGCATTCTCCTCTTCCAGTACTCATTGTACGATCGATATAAACCATTTTCCTTCTAACACGACGAATGAATAACAATGCAAGAAAATTAGAATGAAGGAGAAATGCAAAGTGCACGTGTCGCGTTTGAGGAGGAACCAATCATCGACACTCGTATCGGATTAGCGTGACGATAATATCTACATATTCAGTTACATACTAATTGTAATGTGTCGAGTCTTCGTGTAATTAATAAGACTGTAACTCCTACATCTCTACGTCTATACAACACATGACACGACAAATCTTTTCTTTTCAATTGTTAACAATCAAAAATTATTCATGCATTTGTATATTTAAAAAAAACTTTTTAAGCAATACACAGATTAATTAAAAAATTATATAATTTAAAAAATCTATTTAGCAAAATATCTGAAATACCACATTCAGAG